TGACAGAGTGAAAGAATATAAATAATAGTCTTTACCACCTGTGTAAACTTTGCTGGTGAATGTTATAACACGTAAGTTTTATAATATATGTTACCTTGTTTCCTTTCTAATATAGGCTCTTGTGTCAGATAATCTAAGTCAATGTTAGAGAATAATTAATTTTTTTAGATTTACAGAATCTCAGTTAGCCTTCATAGCGGGGCTGAACCCGTATTACACCAAGCACTGTAGCTAATATTAGCTGGTATCTCGCCGGTGGACATAAATACAGTAAAGTAATATTCCAATCACAATATCTACACAATAATATGTCCATCTTACTTGTGAAATGTTGTCTGTGGAGCCCTCACATCAATAATACATAGATCCGAACAACAATATCCCATAGTGCTGAGGCATCTTCTGCTGTTTTGATTGAGCAAAGTAGGAGGGACGACCCATCCAAGATGGCCGCCGTATTTCCTGCGCCGGAGCGGTCCATGCGGGGTCTACTCTTATATTATGTCTATAACACCGGCAGATGAGAAATACTGACGTCTAGTCAGTCACTGGTCTGCTTGATTGCCCTCCGGACCAGGCCGGAACGAGCAGCATTAGCCCACACTTCTCTCTGACTGGCTGTCCTGATCTCCCAGAGCTTATTTTTGTCATCAAATAAATTATTGTTTCTATAGATCCGCTCGTCTGTCTCCCTTTTTGTCCTCGCCTTTGAGCTGGGCGTGACACCCCACACAATCTAATACTGTTGGTCCAGTTTGTGTTGAGACCAGCTCAGGGGTCATGAATAAAGTGTGTGCACGCACAAAGACGTGCGGCGCCATATTTTACACAAGTTGGCATGGATAAAAATGAACGTGGGGTGAAAGTCAACATAAATATATATAGAGTTTTTACCTGCCGTGAAAATGTGCAGCAGCAACGCAGTGGTTTTTTCCGACAATAACAAACTATAAAAAGCGCCAAAATTCACCTAAATACACTGAAATCTGACTCCATCCAGTGTTTAGACAAAGAAGCATCAAACTTAATGTTTTTTCATGATTTTAATATTTTATTGTTTAAACCTAAACAATGAAACTGAACCACATTTATCCTCAGGCAATAATACACTCAAAATAAAATAAGATTTGAAAACCTCACTTGAATGTAAATAGTAAATTCTCTGTTTGTCACCAGTGATGTGCGGTGAGGTTCATTGCTGGTGAGGCACTGACTTACGACTTATATAGACACCATGCATGTTACTGGACGTACGGAAATTTCGCGCAGGCATACAACGCTGGGAGGCAAAAAGACTAATCTTTTATATGTCATCTATAGCCGTGTTAACTCAGTGAAACATTGAAATGTAGGTAATTTCGTGCTATTGCAACAGTTGTAGAATGAATCACGTCAAGGAACCAGGATTTGCAATGATTTATTCCTGTTTAAAACAAAAAACATGTTCAGCAGCAGCTCCTGGCTCTGGCTTTCCCACTCACACCTCTCCCCAGCGCGAACTCACAGGAATGGGTTAAAATCATCTAAAGTTCACAAATAATAAAATAAAATCTGCATTCATTCAAAACAACTAAAATAAAACCGAAACATAAATAATCTGCCCAAAGGTTACAATTTTACATAGTAATATAAAAATGTACAAAATACATACATTTAACAACCAGATAACATTTTGAAATAACTCACATACCTGTTTAAAACAAACACCATGTTCAGCAGCAGCTCCTGGCTCTGGCTTTCCCACTCACACCTTTACTGACCAAAAGAACAAAAATAAAGTAACCATGTTGGCACGGTAAACTGGATAAATGTCACCAACGTGGGAATTAAATACACAGAACAGTGCTGTGCTAAACATCAAAAAGTTAAACAACTATTTACAACTTATGAGTTGAACAGCATACTTTTTCTTTTTACATTTTGAATATTTTAATGTACAAGCAGGAGACAACTCTGTGCGCTTACCTCTCCCCAGCGCAGCTTGGCGCGAACTGAGGAGGGCAGCGGGAACACACAGGATGTGACACGGAGACAGGAAACAAGAAAATAAAAGCTTCTCCACCAAAATAAAATACAATTCAAAAACCAAGGAAAAACAAAAATACATAGATAATGGGGATGGATTTGGGCCGCATTGGGATCCAAAAATAAAACAGTATAAAACAGAAATAAGTGCAAAGGCGACAACAATCATGTAAATTCAACAAAAGGGTGTTTTGAGAAGGTTAATCCAAAAAAAAAATAAATAAATAAAATTAACTCAGCTACACCATGATCCACAGCAAAGGGAAAGAGGTATTATCCACGCTGCACGCAGACCATAGCCATAGTAACTGACAACAATGCCACTTCATGTTTTAGGATTTAACACACAAAAAAAAAACATTCAAGAAATTCAGACACATAACAGAATATTCAGTATGTCGTTGTGGTACGTTTTAGGCTTAACGTTTTATTAATAA